GTTTCCAGGGCAGCCAACGTCTTTCCCTAAGCTGTGAATCTGTGTTAGTGTGTGTTATGTGGATCTAAGGCAGAATCCAGGCAGCATCTCGAACCGTTTCCCCGCCGCGCTGATGTTTTGTCAAACCGAACATTTGCCTTCCAAAATGTGCGACGGAGGGGAGGAAACGGCTGCTGACGGTTCTGGATGAAAAAGCTGGTGTGTGTGTGTTTGCTGGTGATGGCGGCTTTCTTCTTATTCACAGGCAAAGTAGTCTTTGAGCGGAGCGAACAGATGCCTGATGACGGGGACGCTCCAAGAGCGGCCCAGGAGCTTCTGCCGGGCGCCGCGACCCATGTTGGACACGTCAGTGTAGTGGACGGGGAAACCAAAGATCCTGCAGAGGGGAGGAGACCAACGATATATTTAAGGTTTTTGTGCACAGTGAGAAAGAAGAGCGAGCGAATGCCGGTGTCGTCAGCACGTTAGCTGGGATGTTTCGCATCACAGCGTATCTGCCAAAAGCAGCAGCGCGAGTGTTTCCGCTCACCTCTCCAGCTCGGTGCACCACAGGATGTCCTCCTTCCCGTTCATCAGCACGGGGAAGTGCTGGTCTTTCCCCTGTTTGATGGAGTTGGAGCGAGTAGTGATGGTGCGCACCTTTCCAAACTACGAGACAACAGACGCGTCGTCAGTCTAGCACAAAATACCTGCACGTGGAGATGTTTCTTTTCACGTGTACGTGACCGACCTTTGCCACTCGGCCGTGATCCAGGCAGTCCTGCAGCTGTAGCTTGTCCATCCCTGAGGCGCACAGAGGCCTGAAGCACAGGAGAGATCACACTGTTCACTGCGTCTGCCCTCACAATGCCGGGCGAGTTTGTGATGAAGAGCATCTGCTCACCTGTTCATCCCCGGCAGGTTTCCCCAGAAGTATCGAGCGCGGTGAGCAGCAGAGACCTCGATGGCATCGATCATCACAGGGTTACACTGCAAAGCAAGGTTGATAAATAACTGAATACATCCCATAATTACTCATGAACACACAGACGGGTTTTTACACCACGTGAAAAATGATCCAGATCATCAGACATTTTTTTTAAATCTCAAAACATTTTTAAATATGTCGAGTAAATGATGTGAAGCTCGTCACAGGAGGAAGGACAGAGGCGTCGTCTTCTTTTTATCTTTAACTGAATCTCAGCGTTGTTTCGACGTCCTGCAGATTCAGTTTTCAGACTTGTGCAGGGAGCAAAGGTGTTTCTTCCCGACGCTGCTATCATCTGTATATTCAAGTTATTTGTTTTCTTATGTATTCGAGCTCTCAAACTTGTCCTGAATTTACACCCAAAACGTTTCCACCCTCCTCCTCCTCGCGATTATGGCTCAAGAGTTGGGCGTTCGTCTTATAATTGGAAGGTTGCTGGTTCGAGCCCCAGCTTGGACAGTCTCGGTCGTTGTGTCCTTGGGCGAGACACTTCACCCGTTGCCT